TTTACGTACCAGAGACCTCAATTTGTCAGTGGTAAAATTCATTCCCTGAAAATTTGAAAAGGATACGAAACCAAAACTTTTAATTTCTATTGCTAAAACAGCTGCGAGCCTAAGATAATGTAGTGAATAAGGGTATTTATATTTACATACCCAAAAGTTGGTCAAAACATTTTTTCCTTGAACATCTTCAGCTCTCAAACGGATCTTTCTGTAAGCATGATCCTCATCACCACCTTGAAGATCGGCCAGTGAAATCTCGAACACACGGTGTTTGAGACCTTCTGAAGCAATCTGTCAAGAAAAGCCAAGTTCAAAATTCAACCACTTGCATACTTCAAAATCAAACTATTTATATGTTGACTAAAGCACCAAGAAGATCTAAGTTCATTGATGATGTTCAGATCGTTAATTTTTGCTCGTTAATTCTTCGATTTTGAGGAATTATTACTGTTAAATTGGTTGTGTTATGTTTATTTTCGTGCAGGTACTTACTTTCTAGAATTGGCGCATTCTGCATTTTTTTTATTATTTGGTCACGGCTGGAGACATGGGCATGATCGATCTGACGTCACAGTTTCTAGAAGACTTCCTCCGCACGGCTTCTTAAAGACTGACGAGCAGAATTGCATTAGGAGACTAGTTTAAGTTTGAATTTAAATTTAAAACAATTATCTTTTAGGATTATTTTATTTATTTTCTTGTTTATCTCTTAGGCTTTGAGAGGCTATAATACCCACTTGGGTTAAGCCTAAACTCATCACTCAAATTACATTTTTCTTTTCTCTCTAGTTTTATTAAAGTTTTCTCTTTTTACTTTTCAAGTTTTTCCCTTTTTTTCTTTTATTTTCAAGCTTTGTTTTTAAAATACTAAGTATGACTTTTGTCATGCTTAGCTAAACTTTTCAAAAGCCTAGAGCTGTCACGATTATTCAATTTTAACGGGAGAATTAAAACGGTCCCTTAATATCTTCAGAATATCTCTCTCAATCTCTGCGCTTATTTTTCAAAATCAAAACAGTTTTCAAAATCAAAGATTGACTTTGGTAAAGAGGTTGTTGCGATTAAATGTGTGGGAGGAAGATTCGACTTATAAAAAGCAATTCGACTTCCTGGGAACACACTTGGCGAGATAGTTTCGCCAAGAGGGAATTGAGATCAGAATTGACGGTTATAGAAGCAACAATCCGAGTCGGACACTATGAACTTAAACGGTAATTGATCTACGACAATTGATGTCGTTAGAATCAATTATCGAAGCTGGAATCAAAGATTGTCTTGGGTGTTCTACGACAATTGATGTCGTTTTAGAATCAATTATCGAAGCTGGAATCAAAGATGTCTTGGTGTTCGGTATACAAGATAGAGTCACGGAGATAGCCCTTGTAGACAAAGTAACCGACGTGAATCTAAGAGAAAATCTTATTCGATGATCATAAGGAAATTGAATCAAAGCGAAGCTTGATGCTACTTTTACCGAATTTATTCACAATCTTCATCTTCTTATTTTTACTTTAATTACTTTTATTTATTTAATCACTTTTATTATTTTAATATCTTTTTACCAAAATTCCCCCATTTTTACTGTTTTACGCTTGGCATAAATAAATCAGATGGAAATTTATAATTTTCTAAGTCCTTGTGGAATCGACCCTTACTTCTCTTTACTACGTATTTCTTTTATTTATTGATTGAGAAAAAAGAATTTATTTTGACACCGAAACGACAGTTGTCAAATTGGCGCCGTTACCGGGGACTTCGCCAAAGTTACTAATTTTTGTTTGCTTTTGATTTATGACCAGGACTCATCCGGGCTCATTAGTGGAGTACAACCCGGAGATTAAAGCCAAATCTAGGAGACTCCACGCACAGACGCTTTGGGAAAGAAGAAGACAACGAACAAATCCAGAAGAAGAATCGAATTCAGGTAATATAAATCCAATTACCGGTCTTACTATCCAGGAGTTAGCTGCGACACCTACTGAACAAGTGCCTTTGAGCATTGATTTTCCCCAAGGCGAAACTTTGTACCAATTGATAACTGGCCTTATTCATCTCCTCTGTACATTCCCTACGGTAATACATACAACCCATGATGGAAGGATCATCTGAATTTTAGCTATGCTCAGAACCCAAGACCAAATCAAAGCTATCAATCGAGACCGCCTCTACCACAACAACAGCCGCAGAAGACATCACTAGAATCAATTGTCGAGAGGTTAGCGCTTTTGTAGGAAAAGTTTTAGAATCACACCGAAGCCAACTTACAAGAGTTAGACAAGCAAATGAGCAAACTGGCTCAAACCGTAAGTCGCATGGAATCACAAGGTAAGCTTTCGTCTCAAACTGAAGTAAATCCGAGGGAGAACGTCAGTGCCATCACTCTTCGAAGTGGTACAGTAGTGGCGCCACCTATTCCATCAGACCAAGCAATCCAAAAAGAGAAGACTGCTGGCACAGGATCCCAGAAAGAGAATGATGAAAAATAAATGGACGATCTGACGCCATCTCCCTATGACGTGCCACCACCTTTTCCATCGAGGTTAGTCAAAAAGGATAAAAAAGCCGAGGAAAATGAAATATTAGACGTACTTCGAAAGGTGGAAGTTAACATACCTCTCCTTGAGGTTATCCGGAAAGTTCCAAGGTATTGTCGGTTTTTGAAGGATCTCTGTACGACTAAAAGGAAACTTACAGGGGTCGAGAAAGTGGATTTAGGTGCGAACGTCTCAGCAGTTTTCCAACCACCGCTTCCACCGAAGTATAAAGACCAATGTATGTTTTCAATACCTTGTAAAATTGGTGAGATTAAAATCGAGTTATATGCGATCTTGGTGCTTCTATCAATAAAATGTCTCTCTCCGTCTATAATTTAATTTCCACCAAGCCTTTGAAGGAGACGAGAGTTACACTTCAGCTAGCCGACAAATCAATTATCTATCCAGAAGGACTTTTAGAGAATGTATTGGTGGATGTAAGCGACTTGATATTTCCCGCCGATTTTTATATAATCGACATGGAGAATGATCGCACGAGCACATCATCCGATATCCTTTTGGGGTGCCCTTTCCTAAGCACTGCAAATACAAAAATTGATGTGAGAAGCGAAATTTTAACTATGGAATTCGACGGTGAGGTCGCTAAATTTGACATATATAAGGCAATGTGATATCCTGATAAAGGAGAAAGTTTAAATTCTGTCGATTTAATTGATCCTTTTACTGATGAATTTTTAAGGACTAATTTTTCCTTTGATATATGCAGGGAGCTGAAGGATCATGATGAAAACATGAGTTCCGATCATACCGAGTTGAATTTGATTTCTTCTAAGCCCAAAGTCTTGCCTTCTGTTTTGAAACATATTTTGTGTTCTAATAACATATAAATTAGGGATGTAAATTGATAGAGCGTTCGTTGAACTGTTCGTAATTGTTCTTATAACATTCGTTTACGTCATTTGTTAAGTTAAATAAACGGGTATGAACAAAACTTTTATGTTCATTCATAAATGAACGAACATATATAATATGTGTGTTCGGCTTGTTTATGTTCACAAACAAGATTGTTTATGAACTTGTTTATCAACTACTTCATCTATGTTCATGAACAATATCATTTAATGACTCGTTTACTTCTTTTCTTTTACATTTTAAATTAATGTATGGATTAACTTGGACATATAGTGAATTTTAGAGTTTAAACTATGAAGTTAAGGAGTTTAAACACTAGTGGTGTGATTTTACCATTTTTTAGCTTACAAATAAATATGTTCATGAACACTTAATGAATATGTTAACAAACATATAAACTCAAATGTTGTGAATGCTAAACAAATGTGTTCGTGAACGTTAAATGAACATGTTCATAAACACCTTCAAAATAAAAAAATGAACACGACCACGAATTGAACATGAATGCCTTTAAAAATAAAAAAACAAACACACCAATCATGTTCGCGAACACCTTCAAAAATAAATAAACGAACAAGAACAAATTGAACATGAATACCTTTAAAAATAAAGAAACAAACACACATGCATCTTGTTTGTTCAAGCTCGATTCATTTACACACCTATGTATAATGTTTCAAATATAAAAGATAAAAAATACCATAATTAATAATATTAATATAATAGATTTTATTCGTATCTAATATTATTCAAATAAACTTAAATTAAAATAGAAAAAGGAAAAAACTAACAAGAAGAAATTCTATTGAAACAACTTGCTACATCAGTGAAACTGGGCTCTACGATTTTCGCAGGTCAGATTGCTTATATGATTTGCACATTCAAACAAAAAGTAAAATAGATAAAGTAATATTCAATCCTAAACTTGGTCATTGTTTCCAACCTAGTCCCTAATATTTTTGGTTTTTATTGATTAGGTTTTGATGTCATACACATCCAAGTTCAGTGCTAATATGGACCAAAAAGTTCAGGACCAACTTAGAAAACTTACCAAGTTCAGGGGTTAAATGTTGCTTTATCCCATGGTAATACATCTCCACCCTTGTACATTTCTCAGATTTTGGTGATTCAATTTGGTGTTATTTCACACTTACATCATACCCAAAATGGGATCTGCAGTAGTTGTGGTGCTTGTGAGAACTGTACATTCTCAATTTTCGGCAGCGGCACCTACAGGTGACGATGATCGCTTCATCCTCATCGCATTCGGGACATGATTTCGGCCTTCCATTGATGCTCTTAGCCTTCCGCTCGGTTGCCTCTCGATTGAATCCAGCCTCGACTGGGGCACTTTGTGACCTCACTTTGGCTCTCGAAGATTTAGTGTTGGCCATGTAATTGGGGCAAAGAGGGTACTCGTACGACTCGGATTCGGATTCGGCGTATCGGGGACTGGTTTGTGCCACGGTGAAACAATGGTCATCGAAGTGACCACTGAAAACTGCGGGGCTTATATATGTCAAGCTGATGTTCCTGGAGATAGCTGATTGTCTGGTTGGAGTCTGGTTGATTTGAGTACAATGGTGTGATAGCTATCCATTTCTACAATCTTAATGTTTTCTTCCATTCCACCGTCATCTCCTACATGCCCATATATGATAATTTAAAATTTTCATAAGCGACTATCTGCTCGTGTCACCGATCCATTCCTGAACATAGGAAGTGAAACTTACATGATAAGCATGCCTTAGCCGATGATCCGTGGTTGACCTTCGGTGGGGCGATTGCCTTCGCCAGCAGGCTTGGCATCTTCAACCATTCGCATCCTCTGACTCGAGCTCTTGCCTGTGCGATGATCAAAGCCTGCATGCATTTGAGCGTAACACTGGCTTGTCTTCTCACCAAGTGACCTCTCACTAGTGCTGTAACTTCACTAGTCCTTTTAATGCTCTCAAAGTCTCCTCGCCTGTTATTAAAAACCATCGAAAATTAGAGACCGACATATAATTTTTACCATAGTTCAAAATATGAAATCAAATTATCGACAAAAGAATATAAAATTTGAAAATTTTCAGATCCATCTTTTGTCAAACTCACTCCAGATCTCATCAAAATGTACCAAATACGTGCACAAACTAACCACTAAAAGAATTAACGTACCAAATATGATCGAACACGATTGAATGATCTTCGCAGCCACCTCTTCCGCTGCTGCTTTTTCGTTGGTGCCATCGGTTAATCGGATCACAACCTCCGCTGTAGGTGGCGGGGTGGTGGCAACTTGTCTATAGAACTCGGCCCCTTGCGGGGATCGATGTAGCCGAAGATCGCCGGAAACTCCATCTCTGCTTCTCTTTCGGCGGCGCCGGCGGAATCAGTACGGGAGTAGTACTTGGATTCTCGGAACAAGCGAACAATTCTGATCATTCGTGCATTTACCTTTCACTTTCTCCTCCCTTTCTTGCCAGTCAACAGGCTTTTCGGCCATTTTCCAGCCTTCCCCGTCACTGCAAATCCTTTTTTCTTTCTAGTCGGCCATGGATGCACACAGAGAAAACATCATGAGAAAGATATATAGATCTTAGCTTTAGAAAACAAATGGATTTTTTTTTGCCAGTCAAGCAATTGGAAACTGCCTTGTGAAAAGGATGGATTCCCCTTTAAACGTCTTCATATCTACCCATATTTATCTTTGCAAGTTAAATTGTTTGTCACAATGAGACACTAGTTTTTTCATTTTATTATTTTATTATTATTATTCGAATAGCGAAGTTTTGTTTGGTGAAGATCTCAACTTAGAAGAACATGTAGTCTGAACCAGGTCGCCGAGCTAACGACGTTAAACAAAAACGCTTCATGGGAGGCAACCCATTGTTTTTAATTCCATTACATTTTTATTTTTTGTTTTATTTTTCATTTTGATCGAGCATGTTTTATTTTATTTTTATTTTGCAGGAATCAAATTTTTTTTATTCAAACTTGAACGACGAAGATTTACGAAATTATAATTCGAATAGTGCTAATTTTGGAGACTACTGAGCAGTGAACATTTGGGATTTCAGCTAGGGTTTTCTAACCCTAGATCCCAGCCGTCGCTGCTTCCAGAAGCTCCCTAAACATTTGGGATTCCTGCTGCCGACATTCCAGCCGCCCCACGTCCTGTTCCAGAAGCAGCTGCCCCTCCACACGTCAAGCTCTATAGGAAACCTCCTGGGGACCAGTTTGAAGCCATCATCGATGGTGGCTATAAAAGCCACCATCCCCTGCAAGAAAAGGAAACGGAGAGAGAAGAACAACAAGTAACGGAGGAAGCAAGAACACGACGAGAAAAACCACACCAACACAAATCAACCACCAGCCGAGAAAAGAGAAGGAATAACTTACCTTGCCGGAGAACCCCAAATATCACCGGAGTACCAAAAATACCAAAGGTATTTTCTTAGATCTAGGAAATTCTAGGGACTTTTGGGGAAAATAGATGTCGGATTCGGCCTTAGAACAGCGGGATCTATATCCTAGGGTAATTTAACGGTGGCCGGCCGGAACTCGACGAGCCTTTTAGAGAGAAGGCAGAGAAATTTTCTCTCAGTTTTAAAGAAAGAAAGAGGAAGAGAAAATGATAAATTTGGCCTAAGGGCCGGCTATAATAGAGGTTAAATACCATCACCAAAACGACGTAGTTTTGGTGAGGGGCTTGTCTGTAATTTGATAAAGGGGTAAAACCCTTTGCGCAGTCCTTTCATGTCTTTAACTTTACGAATTAGTCACTGAAATCAAATTCTAAACGTTTTAATTAGTCTCGTAATTTAAATTATTTATTTTAGTCCTTATATGTCTATATAATTTAGGATAAATAATGAATTAGTCCCTCATAATTTTATTTATTTTATTTTAATAACCGATTAATAATTAGGGTTAATTACACTATTAGTAATTATATTTTATAATACTTCGAATAGGGATGTAAATATTAATCTTTACATTTTAATCTATTACTTTAATTTTATATGTTTTGGTCACTAATTTTAATATTTTATAAGTTTATTATTTTAATACTATAGTTTTATTTTTATTACATTTTAGTCCTATCTCGTATATTATATATTATATGATAAATATATTTATTTCCTTTAGATTTATTATTTATTATTTTAATCTCTATAATTATTAAATTAAATTACACTATGCTTATATTACATGATATTTAGAATTAGTATTTAATTTGATATTTTATATTTAATAATGTTTTAAATAAGTTTAATATTTTGAATTAGTATTGTCTTCCCCTTTTGCTTCTTGATTGTCGTTGGTTTGGTATGATGGTGGATCCCTCATTGTTTGATTCATTTAATGTGAGTTATAAATTACCATGTCAAGTATACTATATGAAGAAAAGAAGTTACCTTGGTCTTTAGATTGGAAATGGATCCAATGTTGGAACTTTTAATTGGTCACCCTTGCCGGTGCATAGGCTCACACGCCACTTCTGATCGCCAGCCAATCACTTTATTATCATTTTTATATCATATTTTTAATATTTATTTATTTATTAATATCAAAGAAAATGGCAGTCTTAATATAACTGGATGTCCTATTCTGGTATTTTAAATAACTAAATATTATAAAAATTATAATTTATTTTATTTAAATTATTTTTTGTTAGGAAAAATATTATATTTTTAATATTTATTTATTTATTAATATTGAAGAAAAGAGCTATTTTAAAGTAACTAGAAGCCCTTTTCTAATATTCTTAAATAAATAAATGTCTTATTTACAAAACTCTATATATTTTTAATATTCTTCCTTAGAATTATCCGATTAAACTACAAAATAACAGGATCATAAATTAAATTTATATTTGAATTTTTAAATTTCCAATAATAGAGACAATTTATAATTAATAAAGTACTAATTTTGGGCATTGTAGGGGTGCTAATCCTTCCCTAAACGTAACCGACCAAGAATCCTTTTTTATTTCTAAAAAGAATGAATTTTTGGTTAAACGCATATCAGTTTATCTTTTAACCAATGTTTTCTTAAAAACTCTTTTAAAAGATAATTTTTAGGTATTCGACCCACCTGACCCAAAAGGCCGATGGCGACTCCCAAAACATTTTTAAAATTAAAAACCATTTATTCACATTATTTTTCCCGCCAAGTAAAAATTTCGTGCCCGGGCGAAAACCGGTTACGACAGCTTGGCGACTCCACTGGGGACTGGTCAAACTTTAAAACCAATTATTAATTGTCTCTATCAATTAGAAAATTAAAAATTCATATATTTAATTTTTAATTCTTTCTTTTCAAAATTTATATATATATATATTTATTATTTTCATAATATTTATTATTTATTAATGTTTTATTTTATTTTCAAGTATTAATTTTATTTTTCAAGTATTAAATTTTATTATTTATTATCTGTCAGAGGTTTGAACATTTCTCCTCACACAAACACATGCATTGCATAACATAAACTTTTTAATCAAGCTTGTCCCTTTTAAGTGGGAGTGAAAGCGACGTCTTGTGAGAATTTATTCTCCGTGTCAGACCTAGCAAGTAGCTTTCGGGGTTCATATGCTCTATGTCTTCGTGAGAATTTATTCTCCGTGCAGGCATAAAGAAATGTGTCCCCTCAAATTGAACTAGGTCCGCTTAAATCTGATGGACTAGATTGAGGGTTGGTAGTCCAGGGGGCATCAACAAGGCAGTTCAAGTACCTTTACCCTTAGAACCAAAAGCTCCAAGGGGGCATCAACAAGGACAGTTCAAGTACCTTTACCCTTAGAACCAAAACCCTGCATAAATGAACCTAAAAATTCTCCTGATCTAAGACAGTACTGAACCTCTGTCCGTAAGTGTACACAAAGGAGAATAAGCTTTAGCTTTTAATTATTATTTTTCTCTCTGAATAAATGCATACGAACTAGTAATCATGAAGTTAGGTTAATTTTTCCAAACAAAGCATGGAACTAGAAAGCATGAGGTTAGGATACATTATATACCTTGATAGATAGAATTTTTTAGTACTAACCAATTTATTTTTTCCTTCCCATTTTTATTTTTCATACATTTTGTTTTGCTCTAACTTGTTTATATTGATTTCTTTCGTTTGCATTGCATGATCATATCATAACCAAAAGGTGTTGACTGAAAGACTGTTCATCAATTGGAAAGAAATCATAATGGACAAAAGTTTTATGATCGAACAAATATGACGCAACCATGGAATGGCATCCTGAGGGAACTCCGAAGATAGAATAGAGCTATGCACTAAAGATCATGTGTTCATTAAGGAGCAAGAGGAGATACGAGAAATAAGAGCAGATCCAAGATGATGGATAGAATATTGTTTTGGCCAAAGGAGAAGAGATTCCTGCACAGAAAGAGAGAAATCTTAATGAAGATAATCCTGCAATTTCAGATATGCAAGGGACTTCTGATCCTAATCAATTTGAGAAGTTGCAGAAAATCATTATTTGTATTCACAAATCATCTGGAGATACCCAGGAAATGGTGACAACTGTAAAATTCCCAGATATGAGAAAAATCATGCAATTTGAAATCGTCGAAGTTAGTCTGCTCCCAACGTTTAAACTCATGTTCAATCCAAGACAAAAGTTATTCTCATTTGATGTTATCCCCATATCATATAAAGAATTTATGAGAAGCTACTTGAAGCGCGAGAAGTGGCTCCCTACTACATAAACCGTTCCAACCTCCGTATCCGAAGTGGTATGACATCAACGTTTATTGTGAATATCATGCCGACGCTCAAGGACATACCATCGATAATTGTCTTGCTTTCAACGTCGAGTTCAAAGTCTTTTGGATCATGGAACCTTACAATTTATAAAGGATCAACCTAGTTTGGTAATTGAAGGTCCTGCTAGATTATTACCAAAAGTAGACAAAGGTAAGAGTATCAGTAGGGGCATCCAGAAGGAAGAATATATGTTGAGGTTCGAAGCTCAAATACGTCATTTGAATGATCAAAACAAGAAATTGAGCACCAAAATGGAAACCATGCATTAAGATTTCCAAAAGATCAGTCAAGCCTTTCAAAATGTTGGCATGGGAAACACTCCAGAAGAATGGATAACAGGGATCACCAAAATGAAAAAGAACTCTAACATAAATGAAGGACGAGCCAAGAAGTTTTCTCATGATTACGAGTTGCAGAAGAAAGACGCAATACAACTGTCATTGAATTGGGAAAATGTCAAGCCAAAAATCAAATGTTGAATAGTGCTATGACCAACATGGAAGCATTATATCATATTCATCAGCTTGATATTGATACTGAATTAAAATCCACTAGAGCTAAGAACTAGACATTGAAGAAATGTTTAGATGATTATGGGAATCTTGTACGATAACTTCTTGAACATAAAGATTCTCTCACAAGAAAAAATGAGCAACATTGTTCACAACTCTGAGAATTGACACGGAAGATGAAGGAAAAGGAAAATATCATGAAGGAAGCTGTTGTTCAAGCAAAACAATGTGGCT